ATCCCTGGCAGTGTTCAAGGCTAGGTTGGACGAGGCCTTGGGTAATATGGTTTAGAGCAAGGTGTCCCTGCCCATGGCAGGGGGGTTGGAACTTGATGATCTTAAGGTCCTTTCCAACCCTAACTATTCTATGATTCTATGTTAAAGAAACAACAAGGGATGCTAAGGTATCTTGTCTTGACTAATCTTCTCAAACATTAAGATTTGGTCCTGGTTTCAGCGAAGTACGTCATGCAGGAAAATTAGTGCTCCTTACTCTGTTGTTTCCCTATTTTCATCTGCTTCTCATTTCCTAGGAGAGCCACATCTTATTCTCCAGTGCCTAGTTCCACTGTGATCTCTCTCCACCTAATTTTTTTCCCTCCTTTTCTACTGGTTCCCCTCCTTTTCTACTGGCTGCTACTTCTGTTCCCTCAATAGTGGTTTCAGGGCTCATGCTCTCTCTCAGTGGTCCCTTATATGCCATATCTGTCAGTATTTATACTATTTTATTTTCAATGAAATGTGTGATTTCTTTAGCTTCTCATGCTAGCACATGAGGGAAGGCAGAAAGCCAGCAGAGAGAGAGGCAGAGCACTGCAGTGCAGCACATACATTGCTGGACCCTAAAATCAGTGCTCAGGTAAGGAAGGAAGCAGGTTTGAATTTTGTTCTTGCAAGGCCAAACATGCAGTTTACGAAGGGTCCTATATGCAAAGTCGCTCCCTGTCCCATCACCCTGCTCCCTGACTCCCACACGTTGTCTCCAAAGGAAAATGTTTTGGGTTTACTTTCTGAAGGTTTGGGCTGTGGTATATAAACTGTAAGAAATTATAGTTTTATAAATAATTACTTTAAAATAAATTATACTGGAATCAAATGAAAACTATGTAAATACTTACAATATCATTACAAGAAGATCCAGAATACATTATTATTTGTATAGAAAAGAAAGCTGTTAGATCAGCATTGCTTTTAATGGTAGAATGAAAACTGAGTAAAGAATCTGGGGGATTCGCATTTTCTCCTTTTTCCCTACTTCTTTTTTTTCTCCTAGTCTCCACCCATTCTCATCACTTCTGCTTGTGTATTTCACTTAAAAGCAAAGGGCAATGAAGTCCCCATCAACTGAATAAAATACGGCTGAGGCTGTTCAGCTGCAAAGCTCAAATCAGCACCTGAATATTACCTAATTTCTCAGCGAAGGTATGAATGCTTGAAGTTCAGCAGCATCACAGAATGATAAATCTTGTGTCCTAGAAGTTCTCAGGAAGCTACCAAAGATAAAAATACAAGAGCTCTGTGCAGGAGTAGTTTAAAGAGAAGAGAAAAAAAAAAAAGCAGAAAAAAAATAAAGCAGCTTTGTTCACTCTATTGCTTCACACTGGAGCAGACACCTATCCATAGAGATATGATAAGATGTATAGTATGTATCAAAGTGAGGGGGATAATAAACCGATATAGGTGATAAAGGGAAGTGGAAAAAAAAATCAGGTGTTATTTTTTCTCAACAAATGTCTTTAACATTCTTTTCCTAGAAAGCAAAGTAATTTTCTTAAGTATGCATTATTCTGACTAGTAATCAAAAATGACAGAACTCTGGACAACTGCGTAAGTTTTGTTCTGCTTCACATTTTCTGGCCAAGAGAACAGTGAACATGACTGTTGTCATTAGTATCTGCGTTCCATCAACATCTGTCTTTCCATTTTGAACATTCATGTTTTGGAGCATTTCATTAATATTTTTCTTGGTTGGGTGAAAAGACAAAGACATGTTCAAATGCTCATAATGAGGCAGATGCTGTTAGGTAGACATATAATTTTTCTTACTCATTAAAACATTTTTCTCTGGAAGTTCAGGTATTGGTTAAATCAGATGAATGTGCTGGTAGTGGGCAATCTATCTGAAGAGGGTTTGTCTTTTAACAGCTGGATTTGTTTTCTGATCTGAATTCGAGTTAAGAAAATTCAGAGGTGGATCTAACCCCAGTGCATAACTAAGAGTTTGATGGGAGGTGGCAGGATTTGTATTTACAAGTATGCATTACCTGCTGCTATACCAGATAAACTGGCTGTACTGCATTGTAGGAATTAACCGAGTGGCTTATGGGTTTGATAGCAGAAAACAGCCTTTCACATCTAGGTTGTGATTTTGATTTTGATTTATATTGATAATGAAAGCTTATATTGATAATGAAAATCTGTGAAAGTTGATGATACCAATTATCAGTAGACAGGATTTCATATCACCAAGAAATAGTTACAGTTATTAATGATTTATCTTCCGTCATGATGGATTAAGCAGACAGACCAAAGATACCATCATGTGAGGCATCATAAATAAACTCCATTTATCACTAGGTGTGGATTTCCCCAAACTAAAGTATAGCATAAATAGTAAATTTATTTCTCTTTCCTACACAACTTTCTTTTCAAGTAGTATTCTATTCCTTATTTTTGGTATAACGCTGGGGGTTTTTATCTCATGTATTTCAAGCAGTAACTGCTGTGTTCCCAGTTCTGGTCACCAGTTTCAATACTAGGGTTTAGAACTGTAAGTTTTCAGGTGGTACATCAAATATAGTAAGAAAGCTTGGCAAATATAACTTAATGTGAATGCGAATCTTCTGAGAAAAAATATCAGAAGCTCAGAGACAAAGTCACACAAGATTACTAAAATCATTCAGAAACGTATTGCAAGTCGAAGATTGATAGTAGTCTACTAATTCCACAGCTAGAATTATGGCCATGACACAAACTGCTTGGGGAATAAAACAAGGGCTATGACTACATTCTGTACATTGAGACTACATTATCCCTTGTTAGTAAATGTCATTGAAATGAATGCACTTAGTCTGTTAGTTAAGGCTATATTACTCTGCTGGCTGTTCCACAATGGGCTGTGTGCTGGAAGAGCCATCTCCTATTGCCTCCACCACCTCTTCCTTTACAGATAAGATAAATTTGTCCCAGCATTTAGTCCTCAGCATATGTGTTATTCTCCAGAGTCTGTGTGCATTTTCCACTACCATTACACATTCCCATCGCATAGGAGGAATTGCTTATCATTATCCTCTTCATTAATGTGGCTATTAGAGAGAAATTTCTAAACTTGGCAAGCTGCTTAGTTTGTGCATTTGGTTCTCACATTTGTGCAGCCTTTTTTTTGAGTGCAGGCCACCAGTTGGAGGAGAACCTATCTCAGGAAAGCATAGCCCGTCAGGTAATTAATTAAAATCCATTGAAATATTAACTAGATTATTTGGCTTATTTCTGCATTCAGGAGACGTTTAATACTGTGTGTAGCTCTCTGCAAGAAAGACCCTCCGATAAATTCATGCCTGAAGCTCCTTCCCTCCATTCCACAGGGTCTTATATTCCTGACTCCATCATGGTTTTGCTGTGCCCATACAGTAAATTAATGTTGCATTTATTTACCAGCTACAGCACCACTGGTATCAGACTGAATTTAAAATGTTTTTACACATTGATGGCCCCCAGTGTGAAAGGTGAAATATAAACCTCAAATCTGTCATCAGGATTGTTACATTAAGAGGTTGTATGGTTACATATTCATAACTGAAATGAAACAAAGATAAGGATGTTTGCACTTGCATGTTTCAACTTGTTATTTTAATTGACTGCTATAAAATACATCAGGTTGTGATAGGACAGCCTTTACCTTCTCTGAAATCCTGCTGCTGTGCTGATACATCAGCTTTTCTTTGCAGTGTATTAAAATACTGTTACCAATTTGGTATTTATCATAAACAGCTTTTCAGCAAGAAAGCAACTTAAAACACTGATTTAGTGAATGCTTTATGTGTGGAAGCAGCATTTCAGTGCTTGAGCATACAGAGGTAAGACACCAGTCAATTTTTTACTTCAAATGGAAGCATTCTGCCTTTTTGGGGGGAAGGTGGCCACAGGCACTGGGGATACAGAGGGAGCAAGCTTTGGGGGACAGCAGTAGCTGCCGGCTCCAGGTCGTCCTTTCTGAGCTGGAAGGAGCGGCATTCCCCCAACACACACTGCCAACCAGCTTGGTTCCTCTGTCCTTCTGAACAGCGGACCGAAGTCTATGGCAGGTCCGCTGTGTGATCCCACCCTTTTTCCCCCTGGTAAGTCAGACTGCTGGGCAGGCAGTGTGTGTCCCATCCTGCAGACAAGGTGCAGACAGGATGGAAACTCATGTTCAGAAACTGAGATCTGCTCCCAGACCTCCAGTTTGGACAAAGCTGGCCAGAGGGTAAAACAGAGGTGTTACCGAGGAGAAGTAAGGGGTCCTAGTTTCTTCTCAGCTCAAGACCAGCCCCTTCCCTCACTCCAGACACTCCATGTAAATAAAGCACCAGCTTGTGGCAGCTGGAGGCCTTAACGCCTCAAAGTTAAAAATGTTTTATCAATTCTAGCAATTATTTTACTTATAACTACAGCAGGCACGACGTTTTCAGATGGAGATGTGGGGTTTGGAAGTATCGCTGTTACTGTCACACGGTACGTGTTTACAAAGGTTTACCTAAAAGCCGCAACACTAGCCTGTCAAACGACGTCAGACAGGTGCAGGGGCCGGCGGCCCCGGGAACAGCCCTTCCCGGTGGGCTATTCACCCTTCTACTCGCACTCTTGTTGCAGCACACGCTCAGCTCACACCGCACGTACGACCCTATTTCTTTCTCATTTCAATCCTGCCGGCACACGAGTCCTGGTTTTATTCCCCTCACCGTTGCGGAGCTCCCCGCCCGGTCACGGAGGCCGCTGCTGGCAGGACCTGCTGGCAGGTGCAACTGTGGCACCCCACCACAGCCTCCCCCTCCGCTCTGCAGCCGGGCCTCAGAGGGGCTCCTCCCGCCTTCCAGCCGCCTCTCCCGGGTCCCGGAGCCCAGGGAGGATCCAGCGGGAGGGGGGGGGGGTGCAGCGCCGTCGACAGCGCTACGGTGCCGCAAGGGGGCGCTGAGACGCGGGGGCGTGGCCGCGGCTCGGAGGCGTGGCCCGAACCCACGTTAGAGTTCCCAGGGCGACGGGTGGTCGCGCCGTGACGTCAAGGTGTTTCCCGGTGACGTCAGGCAGCTCATGCGCAGTGGGCGAGGCGGCGATTCTGGGTGACGTCACGGGGCCGGGCGTGACGTGCCGGTGGCACGGGCCGCTGGGAGCTGGCCGGGACCTGCGCTCGCCCCCCTCCCCCCTCCCACTACGGGTCGCGGCTGGGGGCGTCCCGGCGGCGGGGACGCGGCTGCCCCCTCCCCCTCCCTCGCCACAGCGCTTCGGTCCAAGATGGCGGCGCTGAGCAGCGGCAGCAGCGCGGAGGGGGCCTCGCTCTTCAACGGGGACATGGAACCAGAGCCGCCGCCGCCCGCGCTCGGCGCCTGCTACGCGGCGGGCAGCGGCGATCCAGCCATCCCGGAGGAGGTGAGCCCACATCGGCGGCTGCGGCGGACACCCGTCGCCCATCGCGCACCCGCCCCCTGCGGCTGGCCCGCACCCGGGGGCAGCCAGCGGGCCCGCACCGGGCGCTGGAGGCGGCAGAGGCGGCGGCGGGGGGCTCCCTGGGGCGCTGCGGGGCAGGGCGCGGCGTGGGGACGACGGCGGGGATCCCCGCTCTCGGGGAGTACCCGGCCTCTTCCCCCCTCCGGCGGCGGGGGCGCCACTCTCGCCGCCGCCGGGGATGCGGTGCAGGGGCGGGGAAGCTCCCTCCGCGCCTCGCCGCGGCCTCTCACCCCCCGGCACCCGCTCTGTCCCGGGGGCGGTGCGGTTGGACCCGCGGGGCCGGGGTTTCCCCGCCGTGTCGCGCTGCGCTCAGTCCGGGAGGGCGTCGGTCACGGTCTGGTTTCAGCGGAGCGCACTCCCGCTGTCATGCTTGCTTCTACCTGGTGGCTGTGGCCGGGAGAGGTCTTGCGTGGGGATTTTGTAATCGGTTTCCCCTCGTGGTTTTGAAACACTCGAAGTGTATTTTAAAAGTAGGGTCGGGGACGGTTCCGTCTGTGGATGTTAGCCTGGCCTGCCACTGCTTAACGAGGAGTCTGAGGAAATGTTAACGGACAGGACACTGTGCAGGCGTTGAGGATGTCAGGCCTCTGGTCTGTGTCTCTCTTACATACTTCCTGTGTTTTGGGGCATATTACTTAACTTCCCAATCCCATGGAGAGTGAGCGGTACTACCTGTTTTACTAGGGTTAAAGTGTAAGTTGCTGAGGCCTCTGAAACTGAAAATGCTCTGTAACAGCACAAGGTTTTTTGCAGATTTGAAGTCTGTAGGCACTGGAGTCAGATTGAATTGCCAAATGTCATGCATCAAGTCCATTCTGGAGGTAAATAGAGATGCCAGAAGCTTTGCCTTCTTCTTTCAAACCTTAGTTGCTGAAGATTACTTAATCTCAGCTTTCCCAACCGTGTTTCTGTCGTCAGTACAGGACTTCTCATCTGCAGACAGGGTCTTGTGGCCCGGTGAGGTGCATAGCTACCAGGTAATGTCTCCTTACTGTGCCATAGGGAGAGCCTGAAGCAGGAAAAATGAGGCTTCTATCATCAGGTCACAGGGGGGTGCAGTTTGAATCCCAGCTCACCAGGAAAAAAAAATTGTCTTTTTTTATCCATTTTATTTATTAATAGCATAGTGGAATTAGTGAGTTGAGAAGTGTGACAAATAGTAGAGCTCATACTGAGTAGAGAGCAAGAAAGGAGAAACAGGGAAGGAGTCAGCCTCTGTTGATGCTAGTGAGAGGTGAGATTGATCCCCTGGCCTTAAGGAGCTGCTGGCTTGTTGAAGGCAGGCAACCTCAGCAGTATACCTGTGTTTTAAACTAACCGGCAGTGTTATTAAATGCTTTGAGTAATGCAAGTCCAGCCTTAACTTTCCTGAGTAAGGAGAAACTATCAACTGGTTGAGAAACCTAAATACCTGGAGAGTGGGTTATAACAAATGCTTGCTTCCAGTAGAAAAATGAGGGTAAAAAGCTTCTTGCTGACTTCTGTTGCCCAGATTGTGCTAGTGCAGTTGTGCGTGGAACTGACTTTCTCTGTTACTTCTGTCAGAAAAAATGGCAGATCTCTGTGGAGTTATTTCAATACCTGGGTTACATTGTGGCCTTAGAAACAGTGATACCAGTACAGCTAAGCCATAGCTGCAGCAGTGCAAGAGAGAGGGGAAAGCAGTGGCAGGAGGCAGGACTTTTTAGGAATACATTTTCACGCTGGGGGGATGTGTTTGTGAGACGGATGTAAATCACTTGAACTTCAGAAATGTCTTTTAGCCTGTGTCAGTCATTAGACTTGACTCCAAATGCTCAGTCATACTGTGTAGCTGCTTCTCCCCATATCTTACATCTCTGGGAGAGAGAGCATCAAGCTGATATCTGGAACACCTGCCAACCAAAGAGATGGGTACATTGCAAGTATGGGTGCGTATAGTCAAGGTTAGGAAGTGTACGTGGGCATTCTTGTATTGTTTAAAAGCCAACTTCTTACATGTTGGAAATAGTGAAACACACAGGTCTAAGAGCTGGCACTAGAATTTTAATTTTCTGATGTGGTTTTGTTCTTTAGTTAGCTAGCCCTTCCTCAAGTCATCAGTAATTGAATCTTTTTCACTGTAGAAGTACACCTATTAATTAATTTAAACCTGTACTTGTAATAAAGTTCAAGATTGAAAAACTGCTTGTACAGTTAAAATGGAAACTGTCCTTAACACTAAAACAAGCAAACCTGAAGTGTAATGCAAATTCAAAGTAACATAAGTGAGGAAAAGTGCTTCTAACTGACTCATGGCTCTAATGCAAGTACATGTTCCAGTGTTTCCTTCAAGACAAGGTAAATCTAAGCTTAGAAAGTAACCTTGTTGTGGAAGCCCATCGAGGAGCATAACGTCACTTATTTTGAAGAGACACCTGGGAAGTTTTATTTCCCTGTAATTTTTCAGGAAATGCACTCCTGCTTTCCAGGAGGAAAACCTTCAGTTCTGTACTCTTGTTTCTAATTTTAAAAGCGAGGTGAACAACAAGAATTTAGGACAGACCTTGAAGTAGTCTTACATAGACTTTTAAGTTGGAGCCTTCTGGTAAAGCAGACATTCCATATCAAGATCCTAACTGAGTGCTCTGTGTTGGTTACAACTACATCAGTGTTGCTGATGAATTCAAGGGTCAGGGTTTTGAAAAACAAGTTTAAGCCATATTATTCAACTCATGGACAGTTTTTAGTCAAATACGAACTTAGTGCTTTAGAAGTTGCTTCAGTAGCTTAACTGCTGATACTAAAAATGTTCTAATAACAAAGTCATTACATAAAAGCTGTAGCAATTGTTATACTCTTTTTTTTTTTTTCTACATTACAGTTCAAGAGCTTTTGCCCATGCACCCATAAAGTGCATTTAGGAAGTAGGTACTTCTTGGAGGCGTAAGGATTTGAAGTGTTAGGGGCAAGTGACTTTAGCAGAGATTTTCCTCTTCTACTCACCCTTCAGTTGTGTTGGGAGGCCCAGGATGAGTGCTGTTGTCTGAAGGCACGTAGGTTGGCTTCTTCCCCATGATGAATCCCCAGGACAAGGGATTGTTTGGATGGAAGGTTTTCAGAGTATTACAGGGTTGTTGATGTAGTAAGGAGTGTGACAGCTGAGGGGTTCTTGTAGCTAGAGATTATTTACACTAATATTAAATAATTCAAATGGGATTTTCTGTACTCAGAGCTTTGTGCCCTGAACTGCTCTTTGGAAGATGAAAATTACTTTGAAGGTTGCGAAGCAAGGGCTTGAGTTGTTGGATGGTCGATCCTTTTCTTGGCAACAATGCTGTAATTTATCCTGCACGAATATTAGTTATATATTTAGAAACCTTAATCTTGTAAAACAGATTTAAGAAGAATAAAGCTAAGAATGAATGGAAAGATAAATAAAAGGAAGATAGGATGAAAAGGTGCTTCAAATCTTATAGTATGAACGGAGTGGTGAATCCTTGTAAAGTAACACAGGTACACCAAGAAAAACTGGGGTTATTTTTGTTGTGATAACATTTAGGGAACCTGTCATGCAGGGTGTTAAGATAACTTAGGTTTCTGTTTCTCTGAAGAGCTCACAATTAAATGCGCTACTTAATTGGAAAGTTGAAACAATACAAACTTTTTTTGCTTCATTGCTTTTGTAGTTTTGGGAATACATTTTATGTTGAATCTCAATTATGTTTCATTGCATTTGTGTTTAGTGATTAAGCTAACATTATAGTCTGTGAATGACATCCTGTTTAATTGTGAGGAGAAGTTAAACTTTAGCTACAAGATGCTTCATATCCAGCTCTGTTCTGCAGGAGTGTATCTCAAAAGATAAGTCAAGTAATTCTTTTGTTTCACAGAGCACAGGAAAGGCCTTAGCTGAATACTGTGTCTTACTTTGGGTTACAGCTTCAAGGAATACATGGTCTAGCTGTGGAGAATCTAGGGAAGAACAGTGACATTGGTCTGAAGTCTAGAAGTCAGAGCTTTGAGGGAAGTCTGAAAATAAGCTGCGGTTGTTCAAGAAAGAAATGGAAATTGTCAAATGTGATGCAACAAAGCATGCAAATAACTTGTTCTCCAGGCTTGTGGCAATTACTGCCAGAAGTAGCGAGCTTAAATGATAGCAGAGGAGATGATTTCATGTTACTATTAGATGTTTTTCATCATGGCTAGGTATAGTGAAACATGAAAATAGGCTTTCTTAACTTACTCATAAAATGTTCATTAATAGATTCTGTCACCCGCACAGGCAAACATATATCAAGAGCAATGGGGGAAAGTTGATCCAGGTATAGGAAAAGCAATGGCCTTGATAACCTTTTGTCTTTTTTGCCCTTAGGCTTTTTGAGTTGTTTGTTGCAAGGTAGATCGAACATTAGAACATAACCTTGAAATACCTTAGTTTGGTGGAGATATTAAAGAGATTCCTGCTCATGGTGTTTTTCCCAAAAGGCAATAGTATTAACATCTCTGTCCTGTGGTAGTTTGCTGGATTGCACAAAACTTACTTAATAGGGTAATATCTTCTCCTAGAAATGGTTGATATCTTAGAAGGCGTGTTTCTTGTCTCTGTGGATATCCACAAACTGGTTGGGTACAATGCATTTGGTACTGAAGTTTTTGTTTATTTATGTTGTTACTTAAGCCACTAATGCTATTCCCATTTGTATTTTTTTGTAGTTGTTTAAGACCTGTCTTATTTTTAAAGCTGTTCTAATAATATCCTCAATGCTTGTTTAGCTGGGAAAGGCAGTTCTTTTGTTGCACACAGTTATAAATACTGTAGAACTAATGAGATTTATTTTTTCTGTGGAGATACCTTTTGATGGTAGCTATTTTTTAAAACAAACTGAGGAAAAAAAATAAGATTTCCTTAAAGCACCAATACTCCATTTTTGTTTGTTATTTTGTAACAAATCTGTAGTTCA